TTTTTTTTTTTTGGTAATTTGATTGGGATTATAACTAGCATGGAAAAATCTGACCCCTAGCGGGCAATTTCTCCTGTTGATACAATATGCATGCAGAATTGATAGTGCTGTTGAAGTTGACCGCCCGGAGGAAGATCACGAGCATGGTGCTCACAGCCACGATCACCATCATCATGATCACCACCATCACGATCACGGACATGATCATAAGCACGGTAATTCCATGTCTTCTTGAAGTAGCCATTCGTATCATCATCATTCAAGCAAACATGTGCATTTTCATGGTTTGTCGAGGTTTCAATAAGAAGTTGATGGTTAGAAGTTACCGAGTGTATGTGTACAAGTCAAAGCATAATTGATAGTGGACAGTTTTTATGTCATTTGCTAATTATTTGAACTGTGATTGCAGAACATCATGATCACCACTCACACGATCATACTCACGACCCTGGTGTTTCTTCAGTCAGCATAGTTTGCGAAGGGACTTTGGATCTTGAAAAGGTTCGTGGCACTCTCTATCTCTGATTGAGAAGAGAAGAGAGAGAGAGAATTTTATGTGCGCATATTGTATTTGATTGAGAATTTTATGTAATGAGATGAAAAATTTTCTTTTTTTCTATGTACTATTTCAGGCAAACATATGGCTAGGTACCCTGTTGTTAGAAAGAAGTGACGACATATACCGAATGAAAGGCCTTCTATCCGTCCATGGCATGGACGAGCGTTTTGTTTTTCAGGTGAAAAACAAAACCTTCGTTTATTGGTCGATAAATTAATAACCAACACTTCGTAATTTTTTCCTAATATCTTTACTTTTGTCCATGCTGTATTGGTAACAAAAGTTTAACTGATATCCGTCAAACTCTCTTGCAGGGAGTGCACGAGATATTCCAAGGGTCACCGGACAGGATGTGGGGCCCACAAGAGCCGAGAGTAAATAAGCTCGTTTTCATTGGAAAGAACCTCGATGCTGAGGAGTTAAACAAGGGGTTCAAGGCGTGTCTGTTGTAGGTTTCGAAGATTATACGAATAAATCCTCGAAGTGGAAAATTCATCCCATTACAGTTCCCAGCTCAATAAATGGTAAGATATTATTACAATGCAGTGAATCGAGACAAAGCCAACCTTAAAGAACGATGGCTTTTAGCAGAACATATGTTTGAGAAAACAGTGCATTGCTTTTAGTAATATCTGTAGGTAAATAGAATAAGCTCTTTTTTTTTT